GGTAACATCCATTCTTATGTGTTTAATTCTTAGCAGAGACCATCACTGTGGTTACAAAATATTTTCCTCCATATTAAAACTTTTGTAGAAAGATATGCAACTTGATAGGTAGCAAGCTATTTCAGTCTTCCTATCATTCTTAACTGTATAGATTAAGCAATTATACAAATTAACATCATCAGAAGGAATGATACTCGATTTTTTTTAAAGTTAAGTAGTAACAAAGACTCTGATATATCAGTATTAAATGAATCCTGACTAGTTGTTACAGCTGTAGTCCAATGTAGACTGTTCAGAACTGTTGTCCGATCTGTTGGTGGAAATGGGAGTCCTGGAGCAGATTTTGGTAAATTTGCTTGACTACATTCTTCAGGTAGTTGTCTTCTAGTGGAACATTAGATAAAATGGCAGCAACTTTATCTTCAATATTCCCAAGGTGATTTTGAATGGAAAAAGGCAATAGGACAGCTGGATAATGGGCTGAAACTGGCAAAGTTATCTCAAACTTAGCAAATGCTGCAGAGCTGGAGAATAAAAGCTCCAATTCAGTATTATTTATATCTATGTTCATGAGGTTATAATTTGGTCCCCATCTCTTTAATAATACAAATTCTTAAGTAAAAGTACATAGATAAAAGACTAGAAGACTAAGCACATGCCCTTCTGTCTCCATAAAACTGAGATCTCTCTGAAACCAAGGGTCACTACTGGGCCTGGGTTGAAGTCCAAACACACAGTAGTTTACCATTTTAAATTGCATCAAAATGGCCATATTTATTTGAATCATGTAAGAAAACATTTTACTTCTAAGAGAAATATTCAAGATACAACAAAACTACTAAAAATAAAAGCTGTCTTCTCATGAAGGACCTGTTACTGACATATGATGAATGGTGAAATTTATTATAGATTCTTTACATGGTTGATCTGCCAAAAAGCCTTCCTCAATCCACACTTTTTTATTCTGTACCACATATATATATTTCATATATTTCCTTAAAGGTTCACAAAAAGTTAGCTTTCAGGAAATATTATTATTTCAGCACTATGGGAGTTAATTATTTAATCATGCTAAAAGACCCCAATACATTTTTGTTACTTCAAATTTTTATAAGAAAGCAACCAGAAGTCTCCAAAATCAAAGACCACATAAAAGATCATAACACTTCTAATAGACTTAACTTCTCAACATTGTTAAATCCTATCACAACCTGATAGACTGAAGACTAGCAAAAGTTGCAAAATTTGTCCTTTAATTCAACTCCCACTTGACTCTGAGTCTCAAACAGCAAGTAACTACAACCTAAATTCCTCTTTTTAAGATAGGAAGTAGTCTTCAGAGCAGAACTTGGAATTTCAATGTGGCTACTTTTTTTTTTAATCTTGTATGTGTGTACCGTCAAATCAGATTTGACTTGTACAGGATGATATTGCTCCTCCTTCTCTAGCAGAGCATCTGGTGAATTTGAACTGTGTACCTCTGGGATCGCAGTGCAGCTTCTTGCCACTAGGCCACCAGAGCTCCCCTCAATGTGGCTACATTTTAAAGGCAGATGTGTTCCCAAAACACATCAGAATTGACATAGTTTTTTTAAAATCAAGGACTCTTAACTCATTATAAAAACATCAAATTGGATATGGTATAATTATAAAGTGACACTCAAAAAACAGCACTGAACAGAAAAATTGTGTTCACCACTTCTTAACTACAGGTAATGCCAACATTAACCAATGGCCTTTAAAATTAGAAGCTAAGCTAGAATTATGTTAACAAAAATCACTCTATTTAAAAAAAAAAATAGAATTAAGAAGATTAAACAGTCCAGATAACCAATTAATCATTACAAAACAAAGACCATGTTCTGTCACCATGGAAAGTCATTAAAATTTCCTTTTATTCTTTAAAATCTTGTATTGCCAATGCTGGTTTTCCAGTCATATAGGGTACTGAAGATATGTACGAGTGACTCTTAACACTACCTTAAAAGCAATAACAAACAAGCAGCTTTGACTCTCAATACGGATTTGGGGGAGGGAATTCAAAGGTGAATAAAAAAATTAATTAAATGTTTTCCAAATATTTTTAGTTTTATAAAACTAGAAAATGGCATATTTATAGTTAAGATACCTTTGCCTTTAGTATTATAGTCAAATAAGGTCTAGCGGGGGGGGGGGAAAGTGAGAGAAAGGTGGAAAAAAAGGCTGCAAGGTCTCAAAGACAGGAGAGACAGTGGTTCTGTAAATCCTAAAGCATTTAAGATTAGTGACATTTATAAGTTCTTTAGCTATTCTTTAAAACAACAAAGTCCATTGCAAAGTGAAAAAGCAGACTTCCACAGTGGAAGTTCTGGGAGGGACAGCAACAACAAAAGTAAAATTTTCTGATCTAATTCAAAACTACATTCAACTATGCTGCATTAAAAAACAAGGACCTCATGAAATATACAAAATGGGTAAACCTGGAGGACATTATGCTGAGTGAAATAGCTCAGTCACCAAAGGACAAATACTGCATAGTGCCACTGTTGTAAAACAGGACTGACATTGGGGTTGGGGGAGAAACTAACAAAGATGGTATAAATTATGTATACTGCATTGAAACAGATGAAGGAGAGAATTGTTTAAAAGGGATATATGATTAGGTAGTATTGTCATGACAGGAGTCCATAACGAAGGCTGCATAGTGGAGTGGACTTGGGAGGGATTGTATAACAATGAAAGAATTTTTCTTTTACTTTTCAAAGAAAAGAGTGAACTGGAGAAGGAGGGGTGGAAAGGGAGAAAAGTGCAACAATGAGTGAATAGAAATCCAAAGTCCCTATAAACTTTCATTAAAATTAATTTTTAAAAAAAAGAAAAGAAAAACTACATTCAGTACTTGGTATAAAATTTCCTCATCCCCTCTCCTAGAGTATAATCAATTAAATTATTTATAAAATTACTTTAAACTAAAATTGATAATAATAATAAAAAAATCTGGAAAAGAGGCATGAGCAGATGGGTGTTAAAAACACAGTTCCAAACAGACTGACAAAATTGACCAGATGAAAATCAAGGACAATGGAAAGACAAATGCTGAGATGCTCAAAATCTCTCCTAAGTTGACTACATTCTTTTATTCAGTAGTTACTGACATTTACTTGAATGGAAGCATATTTTTCATTTTAGTTATTAAAAAAAGGCTAAAGTACATGTGAAAGGAATCAGTCATTTTTATTTAGTTACTTCTGTGAAAACAGGAGTATCTCCTTTGAATGTAAAAGACTCATGTTTCAAGGTACCATGATATTAGAAAATGTCATTTTACTTACAAGTTCATTCTTCCAGTGGTATTGTATATTACTAAAAACATATAAACATTCTTGACAAACCAAAAGAAAACTTTCCTACCCCAAATGTTTGAAATAAAAAATAAAATTTAATAAGCAAAACAACAGAAATGAAATTGGATCTGTCAACTGTGCCTTCTTTTCTTGAGAATACTCAATTCTTGAAATGTACAAAACAGCTAGCTTCCCTCTGTGACATCCACTTAAACCTAGGTTTATCTCCATTATGATCTTCAGCATTCTAGAAAGAGCCATCAGTCCTCACACATACTCCCAGTCTGGTGACGAAAGCTAACCTCTATATATGCCAGTCCCGTAACAGCAGGAGTCACCATGCAATCTTAATGAGTGACATGGGAAGAGTAACTGCTGGCCATCTATCTCTTGCTTCCTAGGATTCAACAAATTTACAAAGCTGTGAGCAAAAAAAAATTCTGCCTACGTGTATCAGACAAGAACATAGGACATAAAGTTATCACCATTTGCTTTTCTAATTTTGACTTAATGATGTTCTTTTTTTCCCCCCATAAACCAAAAAAGAAAAAAATTAGCCTTAGGTATGTCTTACTAATCATAGAATCCAGAATACACAATAGTAGATATAAAATTAAATTTTTCTTAAAAATTAATTCTATTCCCATAAATTATACAAGTTTTCTATTAGAAAGGAACTAAAAGGAACTCTGTAATTTTAAGAAATACATATAATTTAAAAGAATTTCTACTTCATTTTTAAACTTCAAAGTTACATAGAAACAATAGAATTTGGAAGACTTTATAAAAATGCAAAGAAATTATACACACATATACACGCATATATCCCTGAGTAATGGATACAGCATAATGTCCACTGCAAAGAAAAGTCTGCGAACAGTCCTATGTGTATCCTTGATCCCATTATTTGAAACGATGGAACAAAAAAGATCTAAACCCAGTTCTTATGTCTCATTCTTGAGTTTATGATGAAAATTAGCATACATATTTGAAACTCTAGCAGAGGTCAAGAAAAGCCAGTAGACCATTTAAGAGCCAATCTATAATTGCACTCTTGAGAAGAGGTGTTTTTACTTACTCTGGTCAGCATAGTTTTTTGCTTTGAGTTCAAGTTGTCTTGTTTGAGATTCTAAAGATTCCACTCGTGTCTGTAAGTCCTTTTTTTCCTGTTCTTGGGAATCTTCAAATTCAATGAATTTCTAATAAAGAAGAACACATATTATTTTCACTAAACAAATGAAATTTTTATTTAGTTTCAACTCCTGTATTTATTGATTTCACCAATAACAATTAGGCATTAACTGCTTAAAGAGATTTCAGAATCACAGAGCTCTGGTGGCCTAGTGGCAAAACGCTGCACTGCAATCCCAGAGGTAAGCGGTTCAAATCCACCAGATGCTCTGCTAGAGAAGGAGGGGGCAATCTCCTGTACCAGTCAGATCTGATTTGATGGTGCACGTAAAAAATAATTAAAAAAAAAATTTCAGAATCACCAAAAGGTTTTCATCTTTCTGTAAATTTAAAAAACAAAACAAAAAACACCTCTAAATGCAAAGGGATAAAGTAATAAACCTATTTGGTCACAGAAATTATTATCAGAATTCTACTTTATTTAAATTTCCATTTTACTTAACAGCCAGTGAAGGAAATACTCTATTTTCACATAAATAATGATTTTTCTTGTGTTTTGTTGTTTTGGGTAACAACAACTGCCCCTGTGATGTTTCTCTAAGTGTGTTATGCCTGATACTACACTTGTAGGCACATTATTTGCTGAAAAATACAGTACCTAGCTTCTACTTTAAGTATTTAAGTCCTTTAACAAATACAATTGCACACTTATCTAAATTTAAAACAACTATTTAACTCATAATATTATATATGTATACACACACACACACACACACGGAAACTCTGGTGGCTTAGTGGTAAGGAATTGCGCTGTCAACACTAAGGTACATGGTTCACATCCACCAGCTTGCCTGTGGGACAAAAGTGGACAATCTCCTCCCATGCAATTTACTGCCTCTGAAAACACAGTGAAGGGTCATTATGGGTCAGTTCTGACTCTACAGGACACAATAAACAACAGCATATACAACAGAGAACTAAAGAATGATGGAATGATATAACTGCAAAGACCGTTAAATAGTTGTTTCATTAATGGATATTTATAACGTCCATTAATATTAATATACTATTAATAATACATATTATTAATATATTAATGTACAATAAGTCTCAACTCATGAATTTAAGGTCCTAAGGTTAAGGGAATGTGCTAGGAATTTCTCTACCACTCAAATCTAAATAAAATCGTTTAACTTCAAATAAGTGTAAAATTATCTGTTAAATTCACTATCAATTCTCAGTCTTCATCTTACTTGCAACAACTGACAACATATATATAAACATATACACTTTCTTCCTTTCATTTAGCTTTCCTGGATTTCTTCTTTCTTTGCAGGCTGCTCCTCTTTGCAGGTTCTTCCACAGATTATTAACATTTGTGTAACTGAGCTCATCTGCCTGGGGTTGGGTACATAACTTCAGTCAGGCTGGTTAGAGTTTCTGTGGGACAGACAGTTGCTGTTACAGGTTATTTCGTCAGTTCTGATTCAGTGACTCTATAAACAAAATCTGTACATGTGCCATCTTCACAATCTCGGCCGTGCTCAAGTCCACTGCTGTAGTCACTGTGTCGCTCTAGCTCTTTAAGGTTCTTCGTCTCTTTCACTGACCCTCTACATTTCTAAGCATTTTTCTCCCCCAAGGACTGGCCCATCCTGACAATATGCCCAAATTATGTGAGACAGTTTCACCTCGCTGCTTAGGAGCACCCTGGTTGCATTTCCTCCAAGACAGATTGTCCTCTTCACAGTCTGTGGTATAGTCAATACTCTTTGCCAGCACTATGATTCAAAGGCATTAATTTTTCTTTGGTCTTCCTTATTCACTGTCAAATTCTGATGTGCATATAAAGCAACTGAAAATATTATTACTTTAGTCAAGTCCACTTTAGTCTATAAATTAGTGTCCTTACTCTTTAACACTTTTTTTTTAAAAAGTCCCTCTTTAATACGTTAAAGAAGTCCTTGACACTAGATTTGCTCAATGTAATACTTTTTTTTCAAGGTAATACATTTAAGTTGTCAAAAATGAAATGGAATGCACAAAGCTTGACATCCCAGGCACTGGTGAGCTAAGATGAACTGGTAATAGACATTAAATCAGATGATCATATGATTTAGTATGCTGGGAATGACTAACGCAAGAGGAATGGAGTTTCACTGCTTGTTAAAAAGAGCCTTTCAAGATCTGTATCTGCCAGTGGTAGGATAATATCCACACGCACACAAGAAAACTTGTTCATACAACTTTCATTCAAATATGCTTAAAAAACTACTAAAGTCAAGAAGTGAAAAAACCCAAAACAGAATTTCTACCAACTTCTTCAGAATGAAATTGATGGAACATGTAATCAAGACACATTAATAGTGACTGGTGACTGGCATGCAAAAGTTGGGAACAAAGGAGGAGGACCAGTAATTGGCAATAGTAGGAGATAGCAACAAAGTCAGAGAACCCATGACAGAATTTTGTATAATCAATTATTTATTCATTGCAAATATCTTATTTTTAAAAATACAAAATGACTATACACATGACCTTGCCTGACGGAATATAGAGGGGCCAAACTATGTAAAAAGAGACTGAGAAGCTCAGTGTCAGCAGTGAAAACAATACCGGAGGATGACTGTGGAGCAGACCATCAAATAATTATTCATATACAAGTTCAAACTGAAGCTGAAGAAAATTAAAAGTCCACAAGAGCCAAAATATGGCTGTTAGGTTATCCCTTCTTAATTTAAAAACCATCTCAAGAATAGATTCAGGAGGTTGGGGAGAATAGATTTGATGCCATGAACACTAATGACCAAAGACTGGATGAGCTGTGGGATGACAGCAAGGGCATGATACATGAAGAAAGCAAAAGAAAAACCAAAACTTGCCAGTTAGTAGAAAGAATATTACCTAACTCCCTTTGGAATCTTGAGCTTTAAGAACCCAGTCAGCTTGTATCAGAGCAGAATACCTTTTGCCCAACACACTGCAAGAGCATGACTAAAGAAAAAAGTCAATATAAAGGAAAACAAATCATAGGGTTGTACAATTTGATGGATGTGGGCTTGAGGGAAATTGGAATAACAGTGTGTTCTAATTTTGTAAATAAAGTAGTATAATCATTAAAATAAAAACCAAAAAAACCACAACAAACAGCAATTGGAGGAAAGTCCTAACTAATGATACAATTTGTACACCTGCATCTCACAGTTACTGGAGCTTGCATTATCATGGGGATGTTTCTGGGGTGCTTGTTTTTGTTTGTTTTACTGCCCTCTCCTCAGTTATATATATCAATAAATTCCTTTTTAAAATACAAGATTGAGTTGGTTTCTCTCATGTGTCCCAGAAAGTACCCTACATATAACCAACTATTTCACACAGACAGCTAAGGAGTTGTAGTTCACTGAGAGCCATGCTGCTGACCCAAAGGTGGCACCTTTCTAGCAGTTCAAATCCACCAACCTCAATCATCACCGAGCAATTGACAGTATTAGCAAACCTGCTCCATGCTAATCTATGACACTGGCTTGATGACAGTAAGTGGCTTTTGCCTTCACTCAATACTTACTAATGTAATATTTTTCTTATTTCTGAAATTTGAACCTGCAGTCTCCAAAATACCCACTCAAAATCAGGTGAAGTTCACAGACTTGTATGAAAATTTGACACAACCATTTCCCTGGCAGAAAAATGCTCTAGAATCAAAAACTACATAGCCTCCAATATGGATTATATCTCAACATCAAGAAAGCAAAAATTCTCACCACTGGGCCAATAGGCAGCATCATGATAGAAAAACAGATTGGAATGCCAATGATTTCATCTTACTTGGATCTACAATCAATACTCCTAGAACTAGCAGCCAGGAAATCAAGACATTTCCCAGTGTTGCACTGGGAAAGTCTGCCGTTAAGGACCTCTCTAAAATACCAAGGAGCAATGGTGTCAGTTTAAGCATTGATGTCAGTTTAAAGATTAAGGTGCATCTGATTCAAGCATAATGTCCTCGGAAAGATGGAGGGTCAAGGAAAGAGAGCAAGACCTCCAAAAAGATGGACAGACACTGTGATTGCTGCAATGAGATGAAGCGTATCAAGAGATGAGGACAGCACAGGATAGGACAAGGCTCAGTTCTGTTGTTCATAGGGTTATTATGAGTCTTACTTGACTCAACTCGGATCTAACAATAACAACAATCCAAATCTGCCCATTTTTCTCAGAAGGCTCAGAGAGTGCTTCTGTTCCCCCCACTAAATCTCCTACTTAGCACCTATATCTTGTACTTTTCTATTAAGATATATATTCCTTCTTTATTTGTAAGGCTTCTGGGAAAATCCATCAGTCAGTGACTGCTTCATTTTTCCAAAATGTTACTATAAAAATAACAATATGGAAGAGAAGTAAAAACTATAATATATATAAGAAGCAAACTAACAAATCATTCGTTCACTCAGAAATATCACCATAAGGGTGCCAGATGCCCTGAACCTGACTGTAGTAGCACAATGCCTCTGCCTGGCCGCCGTTCGCCAGCTACCAACCAAACACATGCAGATGTTGACCAGCTACACTGACAAAAAGCAGTAGCTACCCAACAGGGTGGTGGTGATGAAATCCGAGTCAATTATTTCAACATTTTGCCTGTTGAAATAGTCAAAGAATAAACATTAACAATAAAATGTAATTTTTAAATTTACTTTGAAAATCATGTCCTCTTGGTTAAGCTGACTGCCATATCTAGGGAAACAGGCAAAATTTTTCTTTTGGGCTACTGTTGTGCTGTGGGTAGCATGTTTTTATTAAAAATGTAGCAGATATTTACCAAATAACACTAAAAATGTTGTGCTACCAAAGTTCAAAGGAAGACCCCAATCACCACTTTGTCACCTACTTTCTGCCTGATAATAGGAAACCCCATAAGACACATAACATAGCCTCATAATCTCCTTTGTTTCTTAGTGACCTAGTTTGACTATAAAAGTGCATGAATAACCCAGAACTGTTTAGTAGTTATTACTGTGTGCCTACTTTACAAGCTTACTGCAGAGACCTACCTGAGGTATTCAGAGTT